CTGTGGTCTACTGGGGCGCATCTAACTTTTCCTATATTCTTATGAACTGAATCTCACAGATAAAAAAAGAAAAGTTGGAAGTCTTCTTTCTGTGACCTCACTTAGCTGTTTCAGATGTAGACTTCTGTTACTATCTTGATTCTTTCTCTGTTTATTTTGAATGTAGCATTTCATGATTTGTCACAGCTGTCAGCCTAGTCTTGAATCATACATTTCACCCAATTTCTGCATACTTCAGCAGAGAGACTTCTATTTATGATGCATAAAGATTTCATGATACTCTTTAGATCTTTCCACCAGCTCCCAGTGTAGTATATGCCACATGTTCACATTGGTGCTGTATTTTCCAGGAAATTTGTTCTTTTGTATGCTTTTAAAAAATGTTTCTCCTGGTTTTCTTTGAACATCCATTTCTCATGCCCTGTGCCTTCTGTTCTTTAAAGAATATGAAATGTCCTTCATCTAGGCTTAGTGATTTCCGTAAGATTTCTATCCAAGATATTTATTTTGGGAAGACCTTCTACAACCCTTTAAACACAGTATTTGGAAAGAGCTAGAATGAACTATATAGTAGCATCAGTTTTAAAATGCGTTGCTTCTCTGTTCCTAGGATCACATGAGGGACCCTGGCCCCTCAGTTTATTTCTGTGTCTGGTTTTCTTTTGCAGGTGAGATGATGGGTGAGTGGGAGTTGAGACGATGACTTTAGAGCAGAATATTGTTGAATTAGACAGAAATTACTACATGGACATGATGGTGAGAAACCCAGGATTTTCAGATATGTCAACTTTGGCCAAATTAAGTAGGTTTCTCCCCAGAATGTAGTTATTTAAGCTAATGCAGTGTTTCTCTTTGCTCCCTCTGTGGAGGTTGCCACTGCTTACACTGTTGTGTACTGCAATTTCTGTAATCACACTTACTTCGGAGTTTTATGATTCCAATTCATGAGACCATCCCACTCCCCCTTGACGGGTAGGCATTGTTTCTCAGGACCTTATTCTCTTGAATTTTGCTGTCTCTAAAGATAACTTGGATCTCCAAAGCCTCAGGTTTAAATAATGCTCATGGCCCCCCGTAGTTTCGGATGTGAATTCCTTCTTTCCTTCAGCATCTATTATTTTGGTTATTGACACGAAATTGAACTTTTTCTCTCAGATCAAAATTTTCCACAATTTCTTCCTGTTATGTCTTGTTAGAGAAGTTATGTTATATATAGATGAACCCACCATTACAAAGTCATTACATTTTAGACTTGAAAAGGATATTGGAAAAAAGTGCAAGGCATTGCCGTCTGTTTATAGTTCTCAATATAATTGCTCAGCATGTTGGTGAGTTTGCTGTTTGGCCACCAGAACAGCAGAGAGTCTTCTAAAAGGCAGCCCTGGCCGGTTTGGCTCAGCGGTTAGAGCGTCGGCCTGCGGTCCTGAGAGACCCGGGTTCGGTTCCCGCTAAGGGCGCGTACCTCGGTTGCAGTTTGTCCCCGGCCCTGGTCGGTTGTGCGGGTGGCAGCCACTCGATGTGTTCCTTTCGCATCGATGTTTCTCTCTCTCTCTGTTCCTCTCTCTCTCTCCCACTCTACCTGAACAAAAAAATGGAAAAATGTCCTCAGGTGAGGATAAAAAAATAAAAAAATAAAAAAAATAAAAAAAAAGGCAGCAGAAGGTTTCTAATTATTATTATTATTATTATTTTTAGTGTAAACCTTGTTCCAAATAGAACAGTATTAAATACCAACATCTAGCATATAAAAGTGGTGTTTTATTTATATGCATGTACTTTGTAATTTCAAATCCGCCACGTTTTCTTATTGTAAAGTCAAAGAGTGAGAATAATTCATGAAGTGATACTTCAAAATGAGAGGGAGGGGTGGTCAAGTGCAATTTCTCCAGCACCAGAATGCACTGATTTTTGCCTGGTGTGGAGGAAATTCACGTACTCACAGAGAGGCAGTTGCAAATTACCACCCCCCCCTTTCCTCCACTGCCTCATTCACTTTTCCATCTCTGTTTAAAAATTAAACAGACTTTGTAATTAAACATAAATGTCAGGGGTAGGCTGTCCCTTCCAAGTCTGCCCCGGACTGTTAACCTGTGCGTTAGCACAGTAGGGTTTCGATGGGCTAAACTTTCTGTAACATATTCGAGGGTCGATTTTAATTACAGTGTTTCAGGTAGTTAGAAGACATATGTAAATTCTTAAAATTAAACACCGTGGAACCCCTGAAAATCTCTGTGAAACTTTATTTTACAGAATATATTCTTTTTTTTTTCTTTTCTCTTAAGAGCTGCTATTATTTTAGCTTTCAAGTAGAGCCATGTGCAGTGTCTGCGTTTTCAAGTCGCGACATTCAGCTTGCTGAGCTGGACTCGGGTCCGAGCGCCGACACTGCGCATGTCTGAGGGGAGCCCGCCAGACCCGCCCAGGGTGTGCCCGCCCAAGTCTAAGGCTCCAGGGTGACAGGGAGAGGCCTTGCCTCCTGAGGCTTCCTCACTGGAATCAGTACCTAGTTTGACGGACGTTTGACACAAACTGGACTGTGTGGCCTCTCAGCCTGGGTCCGGGGAGGAGGGGGGGGAGGCGCGGCCCAGGCTGGGAGCGCGGTGTCCGTCTGGCTCTGCGGCCCGACCCTGGCTGGGCTGCTGCTTTCTATCAGCATCCCGTCGCATCTGTTAAGATGACCCCGAGGGATTGTAAAGTTTAAATTAGGTTGGTTTACGCTCTAAGAAGGCAGAAAAATTATGTCAGGTTTTTGAAGGATGTTAATTAAAGTAGGTAAAGTGTGCCCAGTAAGTTATGGCATTTCAACTTCAGTTGTCTGGGAAGTATACTTACGTGGGACATTTAGGGACTGAAGAATGCTGGCAAAATGAGGCATTGATGTACGTTCTCCGGCCCCAAACCTGGCTCCACAGGCCTACGGAATATGTTTAATCCTTATTTCAGGAGGACGAGCGTACTTCTGGCTTCTGGTAGACGGTTCAGACTTGTGCGTTGACAAACCATTACTCCACCAGCCTTCTCACAGGAAGCCAGGAACGGGGATGCCGGAAAGAACCTTCTACAGGGAGACCCCGGTTCGAAACAGCAGGCATAGAGGACTCTTGAGAAAACACAGGAAGAGACCCGGGGTGGACATCACCAAGGAGAGGGGCCAGGGTGGGGGCTCGTTGAAGGACAGATAGAGCCGCAGCCTCAGGGGAGCCTCAGAACCAGCTGGGGTGGAGAGGCGGCCCGGGGGTCAGCCACCGTTCCCCCGCACACGCAGTGGGTGCCCCCCTTCACCAGCAGCAGGGCCTGCGTGTGTGCCCACGTATGCTAGAACACGTGAAGCCGTGCTGTCCCCTGACCTGTGCGCAAGGGCTTCGGCTGAGTGCGGTCTGCCCCTCTCTCCCTCCCTTCCTCTTTCTTTTCTTCTTTTCATAAGTATTTATTGAAGTCATACTATGAGCCAGACACTGGTAGGTGCCGAGTGTGCTCTGACAAAGGACAGGACAGCCTGTTCTTGCTGCCACAGAACTTCCCTTGTGTTGTGAGACAGAGACATGTCAACAGGAACGTACAGATGGATACGCTAAGGATTATAATGGGAAGGAAAGTACATTCCAGGGCACGTTTGAGAGACCAGGAAGGCTTCCTGAAGAAAGTGACATCTAAGGCGAGACGTAGGTGATAGAGAAGAGTTTGCCAGGGAGGCGGGGTGGGGAGCAGGATCAGTATTCCAGGGCAGGAGACAGCGGGGGCAGGAGGTGGGACAGAGAACGGTGACTCTGTGGCCAGAGCATGGCAGCTGAGTGAGAAGTCTGCAGAGGCCTGGTCATGGGGAAGACAAGACGCTGGACTTTATTCTCAGACCAGTGGGGAGCCTTTGAAAGGTTTTACTCAGAGAAATAATGCATCAGCTTGGCATTTTAGAACATTTGTTTGGCCATTCAGTTTGGAAGGGCAAGGCTGGCAAGCGTTATAGTTGCCTGAAAGAAAAATGTGGCCCATAATGGGAAAAAAGATGCAACGGAGAAAAGTAAATGTCATTGAACCATAGTTAGGAGATAAAAGTGATAGACTTTGTGACTGTTTGATAGGATAGGTGAGGAGTCAAGATTACTTCCAGGTTTCTGGCATGGGCAGCTGGGCACTAATTAATGAAAGAGAGAATACAGTGGAAGGAACTTGGGGTGGGGTGGGAGATGGACAGTTAAGTTTCAGACTGGGGGATCTTCTGGTGGGCATGGGATACGCACAAGGGCAAATGCCATTGGATCTGAAGTTGAGGGCAGAATGCTGGGCTGGCAATATAGACCTGGAGGAATTAACATTTACGGGTGTGTGTGTGTGTGTGTGTGTGTGTGTGTCCAGGGCTGTGGGAATGAAGGTGATCAGTAGAGAGGAGACAGAGAAGAAACAGCTAGATGGGAGAAGCCAGGCCAGGAGTGTGTGGTGACACAGAAACCAAGAAAGAATGTTTCAAGATGGAAGGGAGGCCATGCAAGAGGAAGACCGAAAGATGTCTGTTGGATGTATCCACAGGAAGTCATTGTGACTTTGACCAGAGGAGCTTCTGAACCAGAGCTGGGAGCCAGAATGCACAGAGTTTAGGAGAGAGTTGGAAAAGAGATGAGCAGGGACATGAGTTGAGGCCTCTTCTTAAGGAAGTTTGGCTGAAGGAGAGAATAGAGTCTGGCCCCCACATGCTGAGTGAGTGGTAAGTGGGGTGGACAGAGGGACAGTGAAAGGTAGGAGAGCCATGAGCACACCAGATGCTGAAGGGAAGTAGCTAAGAGAATAGAGAGGCTGAGGGTGAAGTTTGGGGAGAGAATAGGAATGACTGGGTGATAGAGGCGCCTGAGAATGGGTGGGTCGCAGAATAGTACAGAGATGACCGTAGCTAAGAGGAGAGACAGCTCTTCCCATTGTGACAGAGGGCAGAATGAAACATTGGATGTGAAAGCCTTGCTTTGTATCATAGTATTTTAATTATGTTCTTTAAAAAAATTTCTCCACAGACACTACCCCAAGCAGTCCTTTACCACTGTGGCAGACACACCCGAAAATCTTCGCCTGAAGCAGCAGAGTGAACTGCAGAGCCAGGTAACTTCTCCGAGGCCCGTGTTCGCTGCATCGGTACTAAGCATTATTCACAAGCCTCTCCTCGGAGCTTCTGTCGTCGCGCCGTTCATGCCGGGTCTCAGCGTGGGGCTGACGGCGTCTGGGTGGGCATCTGGGTGAAGTCGCCGAGCGTCACTCGTCCCCTGGTCTTGGATCATCCCCACGTTCTCGGTTCTGTTATTCACATGGGACTCGGGCGAGTAAACGAGCTCTGGTCCGAGTCAGTGTTTCCCAACAATCTTGATTTATTTGGTCCTAAATATTTAGAAACATTTTATAAATAGCGTTCCCGCACCACATATGCAGGGGAACAAGAGGTGTTAACTTGACCCAGTTGCAGTGCGTGTGGGGCTGACACCCTGTCTGTGTATCTCACACCAGTCACCAGCTTTGTTTTCATCCTGTCACTCTATTCATATTTCTTTCAGCTGTCACACTGACAGCATGAACAAAGATGAGAACACCACATTTGGCTCCCTGTCAACCATTTTGGTTGGAAACCTGCCTTCAATATGGTGAAACACATTGGTTAAGACCAGGGATTGGAACGGCAGTGTTTTTTGTAGGGATACCCACCTCTTCTAAGAAACCCAGGGTACTGCTTGGGAGTAGTTATCTTGCCTCAAGTCTTGCTGGCCATGGTGTAGGAAGGCTCTGCAGAAACGTAGCAGCCTGCTGGTCAACAGTGTATAGGTATACTTCATTTTATTGCACTTTGAATTATTGCACTTCGCAGGTATTACTTAAAAAAAAAATTGAATGTAAGACCCTCTACCAGCAACAAGATTATGACTTACCGAAGGCTCAGATGATGGTTAGCACTGTTTAGCAATAAATATATATTTTTTAATTTATTATTTTTTCTTTATTGATTTTTTAGAGAGAGGAAAGGAGAGGGAGAGAGAGACAGAAACATCGACAAGTGAGAATATCAAGTGGCCACCTCCTGCATGCCCCCCACTGGGGATTGGGCCCACAACCTGGGCATGTGTCCTGACTGGGAATCGAACCGGTGACCAGGCAGCAATAGATATTTTTAAATTAAGATATGTACATTGTTTTTATTTTTTAGACATAATGTTATTGCACACTTAATAGACTGGAGTGTAGTAGAAACATAATTTTTATACACACTGGGAAACCAAAAAATTCATGTGACTCACTTTATTGCTACATGTGCTTTGATGCTGTGGTCTGGAACTGAACCTGCAGTGTGTCAGCTGTGCGCCTGCAGTGAATGACACCAAGGAGGAGGAGGGGAGGCTGGGTGCGAGCCCCCTGCTGCTCTGGTCACTGTGGGACCTTGGGCCAGCCACCCTGACTCTTTGTGCTGATGTAAAGTGAGATGGTCTGTCTTTTGTACCTGTTTTGAGGGTGATCGAAAGTATCAAATAGTTAAGTGTGAAAGCATTCTGAAAAGTTAAAAAATAATCATGTGATTGTGGAGGCTTATTATTATCATCCCTGAAAATCCTTTCCATGAAACAGGGAGAAAGCAGAATGTGTGAAGGAAAGAGGTGTCTGGCTAGTACTCTTTGAAAATGACAGGCTGTAGCTGTTCTTAATGAAAGTGGTTAGCTCTCAGTTGCACCGTAGCTCCCATCACCCTCTTTCTGGGGGACTTGGGACCACTTCACCATTCATGTAATGAGAGGAACTATAACCCAAAGTAGAGTTCCCTGTTGGCTAACAATGCCATGAAGCCTTGGTTGGCTGTTAGTTTCTGGTTTGTGTAAAATGCTAATTTTTGTGTGCTAAACCATTAGTTGAAAAAATTGAGTGCTGGCCAAAGAGAGGCACTGTTGCGGGGCAGGAACACCCTTTGCTCGTTCGTACCGCGGAGGGTGCCAGGACCGGTCTGCAGGCTGTGCGGAGCCGCGCGCCTTTCTTCTCAGCAAGTTGGGATTAATTAGATACTTCTGCAGAAGGACTTCCAGCACACTGAAAAACAGAACTAGATCCAGCAGTCAAATATTTGTTTCCTGCCTCTTCTATATGCTTGTTCTGTGCAGAAGAATTTAGACTTCATTGATCCTCCCGTCATAAAGCTCACAGGGTGTCTGAGGAACCCGGACTCACCTTCCCCGCCGTCGCCCGAGACACCCCCCACCCCTCCTCCCGGTGACCCTGTGTCATTCACAGGAAGGGCCCCGAGCAGAAAGGATAAGTGCTGGAGGCGGCTTCTGAGTGGAGCCTTGAAAGTCACTAGAAGACCTGATATGGATCCCTGTCCAAATCCCCTTCGTTTGGCAGGCACCCGCTCCCCTTGGGTTCTTAGCCATTCCAGGTGCCTTCAGCTTGGCCCAGGGATGAATATTTTTTTTCATTCTCAACCGAGGACATTTCTGCATTTATCTTCAGATAGAGCGGGAAGGAGAGAGGGAGGAAGAGAGAGAGCATCCATGTGCTGGTTGCCACCCACATGACCCCTCAGGGCCGGGGACAAACCGCAACCGAGGTCGTGCCCTTAGCAGGAACAGAACCCGGGACTCTCTGGTCCATGGGCCAAAGCTCTAACCGCTGAGCCAAACCAGCCAGGGCCAGGGATGAGTATTTATTGTGTTCTTACCTTGTGCCTGATTCTAAAATTGCGAATGAAAAAGTAGCTCACTCTTTTATGAAAGGCTGGTTTTAGTGTCCCTCACGCAGCAGGCTGCAGGCTTCAGAGGCGACGCACATGTGTGACAGGCTGTCGGGACAGAGCCAGTAGAGGCAGGCACAAAGCACCGGGGGGTCTCCAGGCTGTGATCCGATAAAGACATCAGATTGTCTTAAAGATTTTGTTCAAATATCTCCTCTAGGAAAAGTAAGACTTCATCAGGCAGACAGTGTGGGGAAGTTCAAGTCAATTGAAAAATCATATATTGAGTTGGGCTAGGCCCTGAGGAGGGGGTGTAAAGGTATCGCCATCACCGTCAATCTGGCTGTATTAGGGCACGTAATTTTACATATGTTACTGCATTTAATCTCAAACAGCCCTCAGACACAGGTATTTATTATTATCTCCATTTAGACGAAACACTCAACCTTGAGAGGATATAGATTGCCTTTGAAAACTTAGGAGTTGAACTTGGAATAGAACCTAGGTCTGTGAGCCCCCAATGTTCATCCTCTTCTGGTCCCTTTAATCAGGAAACACTTAGAAAGGAGATCTGTACGCCAAAAATTGCAGTACAATGTGATAAAGTGGGATATATGTAGAGTTTCACAAAAAGTGCAAAAGTCACACATAGGAAGAAGTCCTCCATCTCCTCATTATTATGATTATTATATTATTATTTATTTTATTTGTTTATGGTTGAGAGAAGCTCTTCTATAAGAGCACTTCTATTTTTGCAAAGGCATGAAATGATATCTATCCTAATGGTGATACTTATGAAAATCGATTTAATTTTAATATATTAAATTATTTGTTTTGGTGGCAGAGCATTTTCTTAGAATTTTGATATCAAGAATTCTGAACAGTGCAATAGTTTGGATAGAAAGTTGACTATTAATATTTCATTGACTTGTTTTGATAACTTGTGGTGCTGAATGAGTCAAATCTATTCATAACTTCAAGTTTTGCCATTCTGAAATCTTGTAGAATTGTTTAGTTAAAGTTAATTTTTTCTTTCTGTTCATTAGCTTCCCAAATGAGCCAAAATGAAAAAAAAACAAAAGTTAACTTTTAGTCCAACCTAGAAGTTATGTATAGTTACATGTTACCTCTCTCTCTCTCTCTCTCTCTTCTTCTCTCTCTCTGTTTCTCAGGGTTGTAAGCATTGCTAGCATTTTTGTTGTTGTTGTTTTTGCCTAAGTGTTAGATCCTCTTAAGCTTTTTTAGGATCTATATTAGATGCCAGATTGTCATAATAAAATGGTATGAAATGTTGGAGGATAAACGAGCAAACCATGAGTTAGCTTTTCAGGACTGGCAGTAGGCAGTGGCTTGGGGCAGTACACAGCTTGCAGACAGCTGGTGCCTGTGCGCTCGGCCACGCTGGACGTGGACTGCCCTGGACCTCGGGGGGGGGGGGGGGGCGGAGAAGAGAAGCGTTTCCATGTCACTAGCTCTCTTTTCATCACACATCACAGGATGAACTGCTTCAAAGAAATAACAAAGGGTCGTTGGCGCCCCCACTGGCCCACAGTAGCCCATTCAGCAAGGAGCGGAAGGAAAATGCCTCTTCTGGTGGTATTGTAACATTATCCTTTACCTGGAGGGCATCAGACTTTCATTGCGTGCCTTGGGACTGTCAAAGTATCGGCTTTTTTCCCCTTTTTCCTTTTTTTTTCTTAGGGAATGTGCCCTGAGTTCCAGAGCTCTGCCTTACAGACTGAACTTCTGGAACACAAATGTTCTGTAAATTGGGGAATCCCTAAACTTAAAAACTTAGCAAGATGAAAAGCTCCTTAGGAGAGGAATTTTTTTTTTTAACTTACTTTAATATTATGTTGTAGCAAGTGTTTCTTTCTTTAGGCTGTATAGTTTATTGGAAGAAAAGGCACAGATGTTTTGAATACTTTGGATCAGGGTCTGCAGACTTCTTTTTTTTTTTAACCTCACCCGAAGACATCCTTCCATTTTTTGTTCAGATAGAGTAGGAGGGAGAGAGAAAGAGAGAGAAAGAAACATCGACGTGAAAGGGACACATCCAGGGTGGGGGACAAACTGCAACCGAGGTACGTGCCCTTAATGGGAACCGAACCCGGGTCTCTCTGGACCGCAGGCTGACGCTCTAACCGCTGAGCCAAACTGGTCCGGGCTGCAGACTTCTTAAAGCTGTGGCAGTGGTTCTTCAAATGGAATTGGGAGTGGACGCCCCTGTAGAAAAGACAGCAAAGGGGGCTGCTCTGGCTGGAGAGGGAGCAGACCCTTGCCTTCCCTGTGTTCCCCTGGCTCGTCCTTACCCTCCACCCCAGGGTCCTGGCTGACTGTCTCAGGAAGCCCTGGGCCTCTGCAGGGCCGTGGTCGGAAAACTACTGCTCAGAATGAAGAC